TACACATGAGTCTGTTTCTGAACTTGCTACATCCTCTTCTGTTGATTAATTTCTTCCTGTGCCAGAATTGCACATCTAATTACTAGTGTTTTATAGCAAGTTTTGATAACTATTAGAGCAAGGTCCCCCTTTTTCTTTATCAACATTTTCTCGGCTATTTTCATGAACTCTATTTCAGGATGAACTTTAGTTTCTTAAGGGAATTTGTATGCCAGACTCATGTGGCATCCTGTGTAGCTTCTAGAGACAGTGGTGCCCGTCTCATGGCCACTTTTTGTCTCCCTGGCTAAAGGCCTTTGAGTATCCCTAGGCTGGTGAACCCAGAGCTTGGATTCATTCATCTCTTTCCAATCCACATATTTGGAGAACAATGATTTTATTTTCCTTTTTTAGCCATAGGGTCTTTTTAGTCTATAAAGACCCAAGAGAAGTTAAACAAGGCTTTTCTGTTATCTATTGTATTTGTGTAACAATTTATCCCTAAATGTGACATTTTAAAGCAATAAAAAATGTACTATCTCCTGTAGTTTCTGGGAGCCACTGGGCTGGGTTGTTCTGACCAGTTTCCCGCAGGATTGCAGTGAGATGGTTGGCTACGGTTGCCGTCACCTGGAAATTTGCCTGCCTGCCTTCCTATGATAGCGGTTTCTCTTCCAGGCTCACTGAAGTGGCTGCTGGCGGGAGACAGCAGTTCCTCACGACACGGGCCTCTTCATAAGGCTGCTCCAGACATGCCAGCTGTCTTCTCCCAGAGTGAGGGACCTCAGAGAGACCAAGACCGAAACTGCAGTATTTCCTGTAGTCTAAGTGACATACAATTGCTGCTGACACATTTTGTTTGTTTACACAAACCAACTTTAGTACAGTGTGGGAGGCGACTGTGCAAGGGTGTGAATACCAAACTAGAGATTATTGGGACCATCTTGGAGGCTGGCTACCACGGCCTTCAATGGCAAATCTCACCAGTTTATTCTTACCATTTTTTTTCCTAAGTTGAACTGTGTTCCAAAATCGAGAAATTGTAAAAGATGTACACTTTGAGATCATCCCTAGCCCCCTCCCCTTAACTGTTTCCTTCCTTCCGGCCAGCCTTTAATATCCTATTTCTACTTGCAGGAATATTTTATGCAGGTACAAGGAAATGTATATATCACTTTTTCTCTTATTAACATGAATGATAGCAGCTTACACACTATTTTGTATGTTGCCTTTTTCACTTAATACAGATCTGAAAGGGTTCCACATTGGCATATAATTTATGTATCTTTTATAGCTGTATAATATTTCACTGGGTTGTTATAGCATGGGTGGTTTATGTCTTACGTTGGAAGCCTTTTACTTAGCCAGTTCTCTGTTGGTTGTTCTAATCTTTTCTTATTATAGATAATGATAACAAAGGTCATGTCCCATGTGTGTAAATAACATCTATGAAGTAAATTCATGGAAGTGGAATTGTTGGATCAAAAGTCAGGTGCAGTTGTAGTTTTGACAGTTGCTAAATTACACGCCCTAGAGGCTGCTCCAGTTTACACACTCAGCTGCAGGATATGAGAGTGCCTGTTTGTGCATACTCTCAGCACACGTCTAGCAAACCTTTGAGTCTGTGGTTTGAGAGTTCAAATATTGTATCTCTCTGTGTTTTTAATTTGCATTTCTCTTACGAATGAGTTTGAAGATCTTTTCATGTATCTAAGCCATTTTTATTTCCATTTCTGTAAGCAGTCTGTTCATATCTTTTGTCCATTTTTTTCCCTACTAATTTGTGGGAACTCATTTTTAGGAATTTAGGGCAGTGGTTAATATGTTTTGAACATTTTTTAATATATGGGGTTTTAACAGTTTTTATTATTTTGGAACAGCATCAAGCTAATAAAAACAGTAGCAAGTGCAGTACACAGCTTTTTCTTACAGCTGTTGAGAGTAAGTGGTTGATATATCGCATTCTTCCTGAATACTTTGCTGTGTATTCCCTTCAAATACAAACATTCCATTAGGCATTCTACATAATCACAATAGCATCTTCAAAATCAGAAAGTTAACACTGGTGGCTTCATTTTCCTGTTCAGCAATCTCTCAACTTCTTTGGCCCTAGAGAAGAGCATAAACTGTGGAACTAGACTGTCTGGCTTCAAATCCCAGTTCCCCCTCTTACTACGTATGGATCGTTGGGTAAAGCCCTCAGTCCCTGTATGTCTCAGCGTTGTCATCCCTTTTGAATGGTGTAATAAAATAGTGATTTCATACTGAAAGCGGTTTCAACATTGTTATAATAATATTAGAAGAAAGATGGTTGTAATAGATTAAATTGTAATTATTTTATAGTAGCCATGGATGAGGTTATCAGAGATCATAGACTACAAAATAAGCTACACATTCAAATAATCCAGGATGTATTTCTCATGTTCTACTTTTAGATTTCACAATGGCTTCCATCTTGACTTACACTTTTAAAAGTCTTCCCAGTACGTCAAAATGGGCCCACAGATTTTGTAAGTTTAATTTGGTTTTTCTTTTGTAAGATTAGATTTGGATTTATAAGCGTTTTACTTATTGACTTGTATTGCTTTTGTAAACACTTTATTTTTGTCTTACAGCTCTAAGACCTCTGAGCTGTTCATCCCAGCTGCAAGCTGCCCCAGGTACAATACTATATAAAATAAACATTTCTGGTTTAAATGTTAGATTCTAGATTCTAGGTTTATGAATTCTTAATAAAAACCAAAACTAATTTGTTATTTCACCTTTTTTATGAGCAACATGAACATCACTGTTCCCTTCAAATTAAAACAAAATAGGGCCAGGCAATAATGATACTACATGGTGTTGGGTTGGGATGGAGAATTTTGAAAGGAGGCTTTTTCTGGAATTTGGAGCCAGATAGAGTTGGATGTTCATGTACCTTGCTGATCAGTTTATTCACCCACTGGCTGTCAGTCTGGGAGATGATTAGCTCACAAACACTCTTTAAAGTATTGTGGAGCCACAAATTAACTTCCCAACTTGGCATTACTGATTGGCTTCTCTATTAATAAATACCTTCTTCTCTGATAAAGAAGAGGATCCATTCCTGAAAAAGAGGTGAATGGGTAAGTAGATAATAAAAGAAGTTTGTTTGGTCAATATGAAAGGAAAAGGTTAGGAAATTTGTAGATTTTCTATGGTCATTTAGTCCTGTGGTAAACTCAATCACTTCACTGTTGACTGCCTATGTTTACAGAACATGCTGTTGGTATGTATTTTCTCTGGCCTGCCTCACAAGTTCATTGTTCTCTTTGCCCAGGTCCTGTATTGACCTATGACTTCTGGTTTTAATTTTATTGCGGTGTTCATACTTTGGTCATGACTTAACAGAAAGAGCACCTTAGTAGGATTTAGAAGACCTCTACTCTGTTCCAGTTCTACCTGTTTCTGGGCAGTATGGCCTTGAAGTGGTCATGTCACTTCCCTGTACTTTAGTTTCTTTGTCTAAAACAGAGTAACAGTTCTAGTCTTGTTAATTTCAAATAGTTACAGAGATAACTAGAAGCACTTTTGAAAACTCTGTAAACTCAATACCAAGATGATATTTTTATATTGTTTTACAAATAGTATATTCTCAGAGATCTGTTGCCTAAATCCTCCTTGCGAAAGTTTCATGTTGTCCTATAACAAATGTATTTCCTGTGGGCATCTAAATGGTAAATAGAATGTAGACTTGGATTAGCTGTTTGAAGAATAATTCCTTTCTGCCTCATTTCACCTTTTCCCTAATTCTAGTGTTTGTCCAGGCCTTTGCTTTGCAGTCACAAAAATAAACCTGATTCTTGCCAGCTGGGTGAAGGTCATACTGAATACCCGTGAGGGAAAGCATTAACCTAGCATTTAGAATATTCTTCTGTGTACTGTTCCTTATCTGTTCTTGTGTGTCTGTTTTCCCAGCTATATTGTAAACCTTTTTCCTATTGCTAGTGGCTAACACCCTACAAGTGATTTGTGTTGACACTGATAATAATAGTGGTGCAAGAAGGCGATGGTGAGACAAAAGAATGTCAGCTGATGTGAAGGGAGGTAGCAGCCATGTGCTCCCTCGCTAAACAGGTTTTAGGTTGCAGTAATTTTTTATCTAATTCCTCCTGAAGCTCGTGTGAATATTCCTGCTTGACAGAACTCTTAGGATGAAGGAATTAGAATAGAGGGATACAGGATTTACTATATTTCAGTCATCGAATGGGCTGCAAATGTAAGCGTCTTATGGAAATTTTGATTGGTTATATGTGGTGTAACACATGCTACAGTGGTATGATACATGATACATCTTTTATCTGCTTTGATGTTATTGTATATATATAATACAGAATGTATATCAGTCACCCATACACTCCTAGGTTTTGAAGTTGGGAGGAGGAGTATTTGCGGTCATGTAGTCCAGCTTCCATGTTTGCTAATGAGAAAGTTTTGGCAGGCAGGAACTACAACCCACATATTCAATTGAGATTCTTACAATGTCTTGCTAGTGTGTGTGCATAGCTCCATAAATATATGAAAAGGAGCCTCTGAGAATATTCCAATGTGGTTAGGAACCAATGTTCATATGATGGAGAATGAGAGTCTTCTGGGTGACTGTTTAATATATAATGAATATTACTTTTAAATGTGGCTTGTAGCATTAGTTCAGTTAGTTTATAATGTGCTAAATTGTTTGGAAGAAGAAATTTTTGACCCAGAGATTGCCATAGATATTTACATGCATGAACTATAGATCACTGTAGTTATCAAGGAAGGCTTTACTTGGAGGTGGGATGTGAACAAGACCTTGTGTGACACTAAAAAATTTAATGGACAAAAGGGCCAATCAGAAGCGAGGGTACGTGAATGAAGGCAAGGAGGTTGAAATGAGCAAGGTTGTGAGGGACTGAAGTTTGCTTCTGTGCTACATGTTGAAGAGCAGTGGGAAATACTTCCTTATATTTAAGTGGAACCAGGTAAAGCAGGGAATTTCTTAGAACAGTTAAGAATTTGAATTTTATCTCAAAGTGTATAAAAGGGATGTGCGTTCAGTTCTTCAAAAGTAGAATGACATGGTGCCATGTCATCTGACTTTCCTGGCAATCAGTTTCTCTCCCAGGTCAGTCATGGTTAATCTGCAGTCTTCAAATTTAGTGGCTTTTTTCAGTCCTCTTTCTCCTTGAGCATTGAAACTTTTGACCACCTTGTACTCTTTGATACCCTCTTTTCTTTGCTCTCATGTGCTGTTCTCTCCGGATTCTACTGCCTCTCAGGTTTACCTTCTGACGCACATCTTCTCTCAGCCTTAAAATGTAGGGAAATCACAAAATTAAGTGTCTCTTATTATAAGTAATGGACCCATTCAAGTTAAGATAAGAGGCCTTGAGCGAAGTCATGAAACCATAAAACTCTTAGAAGAAAACATAGGCAAAAATCTCTTGAATTTAAACATGAGCACCTTTTTCCTGAACACATCTCCTTAGGCAAGGGAAACAAAAGCAAAAATGAACAAATGGGATTATATCAAGCTGAAAAAGTTCTGTACCTCAAAGGATGCCATAAGCAGAACCAAAAGGCTTTATACAGTATAAGGGAACATATTTGTAAATGACTTATCCGATAAAGGGTTAACATCCAAATATATAAAGAACTCACACACCTCAATACCCAGAAAGCAAATAATCCAATTGAAAAATGGGCGGCAGATATTAACAGACAGTTCTCCAAAGAAGAAATTCAGATGGCCAACAGGCACATGAAAAGATGTTCCACATCACTAATTATCAGGGAAATGCAAATTAAAACCACAGTGAGATAGCACCTCACACCAGTTAGGTTGGCCAACATCAAAAGACTAGGAACAACAAATGCTGGCGAGGATGTGGAGAAAGGGGAACTCTTCTCCGCTGCCCGTTTGGAATGTAAAGTAGTTCAGCCGTTGTGGAGACCAATATGGAGTTTCTTCAGAAAACTAAAATAGAAATACCTTTTGACCTGGGAATTCCACTCCTAGGAACTTACTTGAAGAAAGGAAGATCTGAGATTCAGAGACATAGGTACCCCTATGTTTATTGCAGGACTGTTTACAATAGCCAAGATATGGAAGCAACCTAAGTCTCCATCAGTAGATGAATGGATGAAGAAGTGGTACATATACACAATGGAATACTATTTAGTCATAAGAAAGAAACAAATCCTACCATTTGCAACAACATGGATGGAGCTAGAGGGTATTATGCTGAGTGAAGTAAGTCAGGCAGAGAAAGACAAATACCAAATGATTTCCCTCATTTGTGGATTATTAACAATGAAGAGAAACTGAAGGAACAAAACGGCAGCTGACTCACAGACTCCAAGAAGGGACTAGCGTTTACCAAAGGGGAGGGGTTGGGGAGGGTTGGGGGAAGGGATTGAGAGGTATTATCATTAGTTCATTTGGTGTGTGTTGGGGGTCATGGGGAAGACAGTGTATCACAGAGAAGACAAGCAGTGACTGTGGCATCTTACACTGATGGACAGTGACTGCAATGGGGTATTGGGGGGTTCGATAATGTGGGTGAATATAGCAACCAAATTATTTTTCTTTTGAAACCTTCATAGGAATGTATATCAATGATAACAATAAAAAAAGGGGGCGTTGTGTGTAGTACAACTGGGGAAGTACCAGGAGCTAAGTAACTTTGTTTCTCTCCTGGCCACATGGTACATTGCTTCCTGGCCTTTCTGCTTCTCTCTATATATTCTTTCGGTTTCTTGGTGGCTTCTTTGCTCACTCAGGTTTTGTTGCCCCATAACTCTGGCTTCTAAATGACTTCAGTTTACCATCCCCCTGTTCCTTCCTCATGACATCTTCTCAGCTTCAACTAATTGGTATTTCTATGCTTCTTTAGATTCCTAAGAGAGAGAATCTAACTGGCACAAGTTATCACTTGTAGGTAGATGACATGGGTTACTGATTGGCCAGTCTGTGGATTGACTTTTTTTAAAAATTAATTTATTAATTTATTTTGTTGTCATTAATCTACAATTACATGAAGAATAATATGTTTACTAGGGTCCCCCCTTCACCAAATCCCCCCTGCAAACACCATTACAGTACTGTCCATCAGTGTAGTAAGATGCTGTACAATCACTACTTGTCTTCTCTGTGTTGCACAGCCCTCCCCATGCTAATCGTAATACCCCTTTCTTTTTCCCCATCCTGATCCCTCCCTTTCTCCCCAGTCCCTTTCCCTTTGGTAACTGTTAGTCCATTCTTAGGTTCTATGATTCTGCTGCTGTTTTGTTCCTTCGTCTTTCCTTGTTCCTCTAGTCTTTGGGTTTGACGTGAGTCTCTTGTAAGCAGCATAGAGATGGGTCTTGCTTTTTTATCCATTCTATTATTCTGTGTCTTTTGATTGGTGCATTCAGTCCATTTATATTTAGGGTGATGATTGAAAGATATGTACTTATTGCCATTGCAGGCTTTAGATTCGTGGTTGCAAATGTTCAAGGTTAGCTTCTTTAGTATCTTACTGTCTAACTTAACTCACTTATTGAGCTATTTTAAACACTGTCTGGTCATTCTTTATTTTTCTCCCTTCTTATTCCTCTTCCACCATTCTTTATATGTTGGTTGTGTTATTCTATGCTCTTTTGTGCTTCCTTTAACTGATTTTGTGGGTAGTTGATTTTATTTTTTGCCTTTAGTTAGTATTTGGTTGGTCTGCTTTCTTTGCTGTGATTTTATTTTCTCTGGTAACATCTATTTAGTCTTAGGAGTGCTCCCATCTAAAGCAGTCCCTCTAAAATACCCTGTAGAGGTGGTTTGTGGCAGGCAAATTCCCTCAACTTTGCTTGTCTGGGAATTGTTTAATCCCTCCTTCATATTTAAATGATAATTGTGCTGGATACAGTATTCTTGGTTCAAGGCCCTTCTGTTTCATTGCATTAAATATATCATGCCATTCTGTTCTGGCCTGTAAGGTTTCCTCTGAGAAGTCTGATGATAGCCTGATGGGTTTTCTTTTGTAGGTGACCTTTTTCCTCTCTCTAGCTCCCTTTTAAACTCTGTCCTTGTCCTTGATCTTTGCTATTTTAATTATTATGTGTCTTGGTGTTGTCCTCTTGGGTCCTTTCTGTTGGGAGTTCTGTGTACTTCCGTGGTCTGATCGATTATTTCCACCCCCAGTTTGGGGCAGTTTTCAGCAATTACTTCTTCAAAGACAATTTCTATCCCTTTTTCTCTCTCTTCTTCTTCTGGTACCCCTGTAATGCGGATATTGTTCCTTTTGGATTGGTCACACAGTTCTCTTAGTATTGTTTCATTCCTGGAGATCCTTTTATCTCTCTCTGCGTCAGCTTCTATGCATTCCTGTTCTCTGGTTTCTATTCCATCAATGGCCTCTTGCATCTTATCCATTCTGTTTATAAATCCTTCCAGAGATTGTTTCATTTCTGTAATGTCCTTCCGGACATCATTCCTTAGCTCTTGCATATTTCTCTGCAGTTCCATCAGCATGGTTACGAGCTTTATTTTTAATTCTTTTTCAGGAAGACTGGTTAGGTCTATCTCCTTCTCAGGGTTTCCCTCTGTGATCTTGGTCTGTATCAATTTCTTCTGCCTTTTCATGGCAATAGATGTATTTGTGGGGAGCTGGCGCGTGTGTTGGGTAAGAGAAAGTTTCTTCTTGCCAGTTTGTGGCCTTCCTCTCCTGGGAGAACAACGGCCTCTAGCAGCTTGTGCTGGGTAGCTGCATGCAGATGGGGCTTCTGATCTTGCCTGGCTGCTATGGAGTTTATTTAGGTCTGCAGCAGCTGTGGGTGTGGCCTGCCTCAGGCTCCTTCTCCAATATGGCAGAGCTGTGTCGGAGGGGGAACAGGCGGGAGGCTGTTTATCGTGGCGAGGGGCCTCTGAGCTGTGCTATGAGGGTTCAGGTGCCCAGAGTTACCTGGGATTCCTAGTGGTTGGGCTAAGTGTCTTGGGGCACTTCCGTCCAGCTGTGGGGTCCCTTTCCCTTGAAGACTTTCAAAAAGCACTCACTTTTCTTTGTCCCAGGGGAGCCGGCTGCAGGAACCTGCTCACAGGTCCTACTGTCCTGTTTCCCTAGTTTCCAGCACCCCACGCACACACTGTGTATCTGCGCTCTGGTGCGGATGGCTAGGGCTGGTTGTTAAGCAGCCCTGGGCTCCCTCTCCCTCCCCGCTCCAACTCCTCTCCTCCTGCCGGGAGCTGGGGTGAGGGGCGCTCGGGTCCCACCGGGCTGCGACTTGTATCTTAACCCCCTTCGCGAGGCGCTGGCTTCTCGTGGGTGTGAATATAGTCTGGCTGTTGTCCTGTGTCTTCTGGTCTCTCTTTTAGGATTAGTTGTATTTGTTGTATTTTCAAAAATATATATGGTTTTGGGAGATTTCTGCTGCTTTACTCATGCCGCCATCTTGGTTCTCTCACTGGATTGACTTTTGGTTGTCTAGTGCCTAACCCGAATCTAATCAACTCTGGCTGTGGGCTTAGGGACAAGGTGTCTATGCCAGCCCCTCTGGCAGGCACTCCAATCAGGGTAGCCCCTTTAGAAGGGATTGTAGGTGAGCAGGCACTACAAAATATGACTCTTCTTTTCTCTGTATTCTAAACTGCAAAATCTCGTAGCTCTCTCACCTACACCTCAGTTCTCTTAAGGGTGCTATAGTTTTGCATCTCTAGCTACCTGTCAAATGGACGTACCCACCTGTGTGTCTCTGTCAGCTCAAAATGAACATTTTTGAAAATAAGTCACCTTTCTTCCAAAAGCAGTTCTCATTCTGTGTAGAGTAGCCAGCCAGGTTTTCTTAGACTCTAAGCTTCCTTTATAATTTTGTTTTCCTTTCTTTCCATTTCTGACTGAGCACCAAGATACCTCGTCTTTCTTTTTAAAATCTCTTGCGTTGGTCCCTTCCTTTCCTTTCCTGTTGACACTGCCTTACCTTGGCCTTTAGCCACATGCTTGAGTTTGCCCCAGTCTCCTCGCTTACCTTCCTGTGCCTTTATCTCCTTTAACACATCTCTGTTAAAGCTGTCAGGAGAATCTTGGTTCCCTGTTTTATCATGACTCTTAGCTTCGACTACTATTTACTTCAAGTTACTGTAAATATTTGTCATAATTAGTTCTCTGTGACATTAGTGGGTGTGGAAAGGTGGCTTAACATTTTATGCCTAATAATTTAGGATTAATTATCCATCTCTGATAATAAAGAAGTGATGGTAGCAGGTGAATTTCAACATTAACAACAATGGAAAAGAATGAGATAGATTTAAAAGTACTAACAGAAAGATCTTCAAACTGTATTGTTAAGTCAGAAAAGTATATGTAATACATGAGTATATGCCTGTACATACATTAAAAGAAGAAATGTTTGAATGCCTGTACACTGAATTAACATTACCTACCTCTGGGAAGAAATAATATGGAGGAGGAGGACATAAAGAGGGAATTTTAGTTTTTGCTTCCCATATTTTCTCTTTTTTTAACCATAAGCATATAGTCTTATTTGTTTTAATTAAGAAATTAGGAAATTTGTTCTTTTAATATTGAAAATAGCAACAAAAAGTCAAACAAATGAAGAAGCATTGTAGGTTTTTGCAGAATGACAACAGTTACTCAACATATGGCCTTTATTTCTACATAGAAAGGCAAGACTATTAAGCTATGTGGAGAGTAAACAATGTCAGCTATTGGCGACTTCTGATATGAAGGACAGACTTATGTGTTAGATCAGTTGCGTTCAATGTGATAGATTGTCAAACATTTGAAAACGAGACTTTATTTATTTATTTATTTATTTAAATTTTTTGGTATCATAAATATATACTTATATTAACAACATTCTGGTTACTAGATTCCCCACATTATCAAGTCCCCACCACATACCCCATTACAGTCACTGTCCATCAGTGTAGTAAAATGCTATAGAATTACTACTTGTCTTCTCTCTGCTATACTGCCTTCCTGGTGCCTGCCCCATACATTCTGTGTGCTAATTGTAATGCCCCTTTTTTCCCTTATCCCTCCCTTCCCACCCAGCCTCCCCAGTCCCTTTCCCTTTGGTAACTGTTAGTCCATTCTTGGGTTCTGTGAGTCTGCTGCTGTTTTGTTTCTTCATTTTTTCTTTGTTCTTATACTCAAGAGATGAGTGAAATCATTTGATATTTGTCTTTCTCTGCCTGGCTTATTTCACTGAGCATAATACCCTCTAGCTCCATCCATGTTGTTGCAATTGGTAGGATTTGTTTCCTTCTTATGGCTGAATAATATTCCACTGTGTATATGTACCACATGCATCTTTATCCATTCATCTACTGATGGACAGAAGAAACAACTTTGTTAATGGAATAAATACCCTTATTATTAGGTGTAATTATCAGGTGTTTTCCAGAAATATTGTTTGGGAATTTGTAAATGTTAGTCAATTTCTTTGCTTTTTTAAAAAAAATTTTTTAATTGAATTGGTTTAGTAAATGACAATGCACCTTGGCATTGAATCATGTGATTCTTCCTAGACTGCCTATTTTTTGAAATGTTAAAGGTCATCTAACTTCAAATATTTAATTGATAGTTCTTTGAACTTTATCTTATCTTAAAGCTGCCCAGACCAAATCGAAGAAAACGTTAGCGAAACCCAATATAAGGAATATTGTGGTGGTGGATGGCGTTCGCATTCCATTTTTACTATCAGGCACTTCGTAAGTATGGAATGATTGTGCCCTCCCTCCCTCCCTTCGTCCCTCCCTCCCGACCCCTTTTTCAGCTTGGCTTTTTTTAAGTATGATTGATATATAAAAACTTGTACATATTTAGATCGTACAATGTGATTTCTTTTAGAGGTATGCAACGTGATGATTTAATATGTATATACATTGTGAAGTGGTTACCATGATCGAGTTAATGAATATATCCATCACCCTACATAGTTTATTTACTCCTTTTAAGGTACTTTCAAAAGTGGTCTTTGTGTAACCCAGTAGGAATACTGTTAGTAGACTAAAATATGGATAGCGTTTTCATGAAATGAATAGAGTAAGTCAAATAATATGATAAAATTTGTTTTTCATCCCTTTTCATGACCAAACCTAGTATAATGTTAGACTGAACCAGCCCTATTTTGAAAACCTAGTGTGGCTCTGGATAGTGTAGTTCCAACAGGGATATCCTTTCCTTGTCTTGTAAATACATTGTTTCTGGGCCTCTTCTGAAGTCTGAATACAGGGCTCATGGTTATTGTGAAGGGCATTTAATCCACTGTTTTGGCCTTCTGGAAAGTAGCAGAATTGGAGTTGATGGGCTGATCCAAACCTTGGCACAGTACAACGCCAAGCGTGTGGAATCAGAATGATCCTAGACCTGCACAGAAATTCCCTAGAATCAAGCTGCAGTTCTCCTTAGACTTCTCTGCTACTTTTTGTCCCCAAGTAAGGCCCAGGCTCTCCAAAAGCTGATAATGGACTTTGGTAATTAGGTTCAAACTCAATGAAATACTAGGTCTCTTCTGTTCAGTTTGTTTTGTTGTTTATATTTTGAATAAGTCATTAACCTAAAAATATACTGGGGGAATGTTAGGTATATGCTAGAAATAATGAGACCTATCTTTATATACTAATATGGAATGATCTAGAAGATATGTTAAGTGTAAAAAGCAAAGTGCAGAGCAGTGTGTATGATGCCATCATTTGTGGATGATACACACACCTGTGTGTATGTGTGTGTGTATACAAATGTACACAAATAAATGTTTATTTTTAAACAAATGGTTTAAGGCCTAGAGAGTGTATTCTTATGGAAATAATGCTGTAAATAAATGGTATGAAGTTTCTTCATTCACCTTCTTTTCTGAATACAGTGTAACCGGTTTCTTTCTGTAATCTCTTTCCTATACTGACACTTCAGCAGTAAGAGTAAGAATCTGAATCTTTAGCAGCAGGAGAGTGGGGACAGAGGATCCTTCTTATACTCAGCAGCTGCACAGTAGGAAGAGAAACTTCCATCAAGAATGCTACCTTCCTTTTGTCTAGGAAGATGGATCTGTTGCCAGCCCCTCAAAGATCTTTGTGGAGCTTGACTCTCCTCCCCTTCAGTGAAGGTCAACTAGTGACTGACTTCTAACAGAAAGGGAAAGACAATAGGGAAAACTGTCAGACTTCACTTTAACCAAGTGATCAAGTTGACATTGTCAGTAATCAGTCATGTGACTACCATGTACATCTTATATGAAGCGATGAGAAGGGTATTTTACCTCTGTGGTATTTTTTTCCTCAAATCCATGACCTAGTCTTCAAGTGTCAAGGTCACAAAAGGCAAAGTCAAGCTGAGAAACTCATAAATTGGAGAAAACAGAAGGCATGACAACTAAAGGCATGGACTAGATCCTGGACCAGTAAATAGAGCATTGGTAGAAAACTGGTGAGATCCAGATAAAGTTAGTAGCTTAGTGAATGATATTGTGTCACTGTTAATTTCTTAGCTTTGACAAGTGTAACTGGTTATATAAGATATTAGCAGTAAAGGAAGAAGGGTAAAGTCTATACAGGAACTCTGTTCTATCTTTCCAGTTCTCTCATAAGTCTCAAATTACTTGAACAAAAAGTTCCTCTAAAAGTCCTAATCCCTCATGTCTCTTTAGGTGTCACAAAATAAGTGTATTTTAAAAGGAGAACTTAAAAGATAGGATTTGGTTTTAAAGAATATTTAACATGTCAAGCTGAACAGTAAGATACTGGTTTGTTAGATCCTTTAGGAGTTAATTTAAGGCTTGCCAGGTTTTTAAGGATACACTGTTAGCAAAGTTGCACTAGTTCTTCATTTGAAACTATGTAGTGCCTTAGATAGTAAAATTAAGTATATTCTCAGTGTTGTATGTTACATGGTATCTTCAGGTATTTCAAGTAGAGTGAAAAGCATTTTTTATTAAAGCTCTAGGCTTTTGGTTTAAATTACTTATTTTCTTTATCCAGATACAAAGAACTGATGCCACATGATTTGTCTCGGGCAGCACTTTCGTAAGTAAATAAAGTTTCATTTTAGTTCTTGATTCATTTAAAGCACTTTTCTACAGGTTTTACACTTGAAATAGCATGCAATATTAACCTTTATGTGGTAAGAAAAACACACATTAGCTTTTACAGTATCATTTATTCTTCATTTTAGCCATTTGTGCTACACAAATTCAAGCAGCTGGTAAATGTCGATGATCTTTATTTTGTAGGCTTGACAGTGTCCTGACATGACAGTATTCTTTAATAAGTACTGTAGCTAGCCACAAGTTATAAACAACATAGGTCTGGATTGATGAGGCTAAATATAATCCATATATTTGATGATTATTTTAGGAGCTTAATTACAGTACATTAAGAAAGCTGAAGAGATTTTGCAAATACTTAAAAAGAATCCTATAATGAGACCTGAATATTCATATGCAAACCAAATAAAAATGTAAAATTACATGTGGTTACATGAGATTGAGATGGATGAATAATTTGATGAGAGTCGTAAGAATGGGTGGCTGTTTCTGTTGTGGAAATAACTTGTGAGGGATTATCTCATTCATTTGCTGTTGATGCTTTGCCTTTTTGTTTTCAACCAGTCACAGGTCTTTCTTGGTTTGAAAAACCCTTTAGTTGACTTTTCTGACCACTTGGTTCTGTTTCTTCTCTTCCTGTCAGATTTTAAGAATGAGTGAAAGCAGCAGTTGCTTCTCTTTTCTAACTATCCATTTATTCTCCTCAATCTCCTAGTAATTGTTTCTATTCCCATGGCTCTACAGTAACTGAAGTTTGGAAGCTTCTCTTAATAGTGACTTTGTGATCACTTAAATTCATCAGTCCTTTTCAGACCTTAGTCTCTGTATTCTGTGGCATTTGATGCTATCATCTGTACTCAAAGCTGTCTTCCTTTGACTTCTGAATATTATGCCTTTATAATTTTCCTCCCATCTCCTGAATGATTCTTCTTTCTTTTTAAAAAACTGATCTCTTTCTCTTTTGCTTTCTTAAAGGTATTTTGTAAGTTTTAGAGTTAGAGGTTTGCATTTTAATGTGTGTGTGCTTTTCATTAAAAATCTCATCTCCTTTGTCTTTATTTTTTATGTAGAAGACTCCCAAATCTAAATTTGTCCTCTTTTCTTAGACACTTCAAGTTCAGCATATAAAAAATTCTCTTTTCCTCAAAGCCAGCTTATTTTCCAATTTCTGTTAATGGTGCTATTTCTGATTTTGGCTCTGGGCTGGAGATTTAGACAGTTCTAAAAAAGTGTCAGGTGTACAATAAAATTAAAAGAATAATAACACTGTGAGCACCTAAATAACCCTCACCTAGATTTAGTAATTGTTAACCATTTTGCCAACTTGCTGTATCTATGTGGTTTGGATATATCCATGATACCATTACCATAGCTAAGATAATAATAATGATTCTGTAACTTCTAATATCCAGTTCATAGTCAAGTCTCCCGCAATTGTTCCAAGAATCTTCTTTTAATAGTTTTTTTCCCCTGAAACCAGGACTCAATCAAGGTTCATATTATTAATATATATATATATAAATGGATATTTCATATTTTTTATTCTTCCATTCAATTTCTCATTGCCAATTGAGCATCAAACATTGACTTTTAAGTTATTTATTTATTCTTTGATAAGGTGCCATATGCTTGTCTAATTAAGGAACGAGTACACTCTCTGCTCTTTTAAATTCAAGATTAACCTTTTTAAAGATATGCAATATTTTAATACTATCTATGGCACTGTCTTGATATGTGAAATATGCCTTTGCTTTGGACTTTTGCTCTCAGGGGTTTGTTGCATCGGACAAGTGTCCCCAGGGAAGTAGTTGATTATATCATCTTTGGAACAGTTATACAGGAAGTGAAAACAAGCAATGTGGCCAGAGAGGTGAGTAAATGAACTGTGTATTGTTTGTAGAGATTGGTAGGAGAATCGATTTGGATTTCAGTGAATAGAGTTTTCTATTTATATAAGCTACCAAAACTTACTAAGTAAAGTTAGATTTGACTGAAAGTGTGATTTTACAACTTGAAGAATGAATGTTGTTTAATATTTGAAAGAACTATAGTATAAGTCAAATAATGTATGCTAGTATATGTTGATACTGTAATATAAATCAAACCAGTTATTTGAACTGGTTTGGGATATATTGTCTCTTAGGATAACAGAGATTGTGACGAAGTATGGCTGATGTGACTTTTAGCAATGTTAGATATCATAGCTTCTCATTAACTAAAAATTTTAACATTGTGCAAAGAACTTATTTCATAACATGGTTTTTATTAGAAGTAGTCTTGCTTATTCCTTCATTCCCATAGACTAGGTGACATATAAGACAGTTTTTTTTAAACTATTTTATAGGCATTTATTTTTACCCTAGTTGGCATAGCTCCATGTGATGTTGATTGGGCAGCTGAGACAATGACAGATCTTGGAACTTCTGTGACATGCGCTATAGGCATTTCATAATGAATAGTCCAAGCACATCTTCTGGGCCTTGTTTCACTTTGAAAGTCATTATTTGAATAAAGTTGACTCAAAAGCACATTTCAGTGTGCTAAGCATTTTCTTTATTTCTAGCTTTATGCTTGCCATATTACTGTGTTTGTTATCGTTGGAAGGGCAGTAATTTCCATCACTGTCAAGCCAGGAAAAGGAAATGAGCAGGACTGATAGTATTTGTTCTGCCCCAGCTTTTTACCTGTCATTAATTGTTAAAATTGCTGAAAGCCTGGCAGTACTGAAGCTCACAAAAATCAACTGTATATTGCTAGGCAGGCAGGAAAGAATTAAGACAAGAAGAGGTCTTTTTCTCTTCCTGATTTTTTTTGTTTTTCTCTGGACCTCACATTTCTAAATGTGTCAGATATGAAAATTTTATGAATTCAGCAAGCTATGCATAATACGTTTTCAAATTCCATATTATAGAAAAAAATTTGGCTCTTACAAGAGCACTTAAAAAGTAAATACTAAATGTTTCAATTTTCTATATTTCTGTTCTGATATCCTAATACTGAAGCCATCATGTTTTTTCTTGAATTTTTTTCCTGAAATTTTATATCCATATGCACATCTCAGTTATGAATTGACATGAGGTAGATTCCCTTTCCCTGCCCTATACTAATACCAGTTGCATTGTACTCCAGGTAGTTTTTGCAGTGGCCTCAGGAAAAGGTTGAGTTGAGGGGATATGTTATAAGAATGTCTCTCTCAGGTTGTAACCTAAAAGCTAACATAACTTCCAGCTAGAGAATTTTTTTTTTAAGGACCTATTGTCTATGTTAATAATGTTAATATGAAATCCTAAATGGCTTCTGGTGCTGAGAACCTCACTTTACTGAAAGTATATTTCCCTACTGTTCATCTTAACTAAGAGGCATCTTCCTCCTTTTCCCTTAGTGTACTATCTAGAGCCTGTTTGTGGTGAGAACTAGTCAAACTTTAAATAGAATAATGCGGACAAGGTTCACCAGCAACCACTTCTATTTAAAGGTCCTCCTGTCCTGTGAGTCAGCTGGGCCAAAGGTGTAATACATGCTAGAAAGGACCTTGTGAGGATCAGGCCATATGACCTGAGTGCCCTTTACACTTGCCCCACTGACAGCTCTCCTTCCCTCCCCACTAAAGACTTGCATCCTTCTTACTTTTGGATTGGTTTATAGTGAGAGGCTGATACGCAGTTTTCAGGGCATAGTTTTTAGCAAAGTAGGTCAAGCAGTTATTATCAGGCCTACCTGGAAAAACCAGAATAAGGTCATGTTGCATGCATGTAACGCATTTATATTTCTGTAGACTATAATAAACAGTGTACAGGTAGTGTAAGTATAAAAGTAGAAATCATTAAGAAGCATTGAACCCCTTTACACTTTGGAAACATGTTTATTTTACCAAGTTACAGGAGATCCCATATTGTGAGGATAGTTAAATAGTTTCAGAAAAAGGCCACTAAAAATGAATTTCCCTAATGGGAACCAGCATTTCATAGTAAACAGTGATAAGTGGTGGTAGTGGAGCAAGAGCTTTATTTTTTAGAGTGGAACTTTAGTATTACAAATACAGATATTTTATTTTATTATTGTGCCTCTGCAGTAATTCTTTACATAAAAATGTAGTCAGGCATTAAATGGTTTTTTTGACAGCGCAATTTTGCCAATAAGTAATATGGTAAAATAAGAGATGTCCTCAATTCCTGTATGACTTTCACTGTGCCATCACAATAGAGGCCGTTTTTGCAAAAGTAGTGGAGGGCCTCAGTTTTTTTCAAGGTTTGAAGCACCTATTGTGCCATCATCCTGGACAGTTTTTTCTTTCCCACTGGCCTAACCCTTATTCATCAGAGGCTCACTTGTGGCTCAGACAGTTTTCCAGAGTTTTCTTTTGTCAACTGAAACTCCCGCATATTTGGCAGGATTTCCACTTTGATTGCGTTGGGTGTGCAGTGTGCTGACTGAAGTATCAGCCAGTTGGTATGCTGAGGGACTCTGACAGGCAGCATGGGTAGCGATCAGTAGAACATGTGTGGGGATCTGAGTGGGAACTCTGTTTAAGTGGTCAATTCTTTAGAAGTTATTTTCATGTTTGATTGCTTTTGTTTTGCTATTAAGCCTTTTAACTGCAGGCAGGAACACAGCTCATGAGGACCCTCCTCTGTCAGACAGTCATCAGTCCATCAACTGTATCTACAGGTTTACTTTATTTGAAAATTAAACAACTTAAAATCAAATTACATATGGATATCCTTAAAGGCTCAGAGCAAAACATTACTAAGAAAGTAGATGACATAGAAGAGTGTTGTAGCCTTGATACCACACTAGAATGTACCTACCAAGAATTTTGCAGCCTGCTTGTCAGCTAATAGCTAGATGAAAAATTAGCATGAGCTTAGTTTTATTTTAAATATTAATCTGTAGAACATTTACCCTCAAACCCTTTCCTGATTTACCACACAGAAGAGTAGTGCTCAACACATCATTTACATGTAGCATTTCCTATATAAGTGATCATTTTATTCATTGTATTTCCTGAAGGCTGCTCTTGGAGCTGGCTTCTCTGATAAGACCCCTGCTCACACTGTCACCATGGCTTGCATCTCTTCTAACCAGGCCATGACCACAGGTATGTTTACTTGAAAGCGAAAGGTGCATACATGTTAATTCTCTTTTATATAATCATAAAGAACTACTCTTAACAGAAGTAAATGATGAGCACAGATCTCTGAATTTGTTGTACCGGGGGTGTGTTTCTAAGTAAGGTAACATTTAACATTTGCTTTTTGGCAGTAATTCTGAACCTTAGTCTTGCTCTCTATATCCCAGGGACACAACCATTCATGTAGTTTCTCCATCAGTAATGTGGCTGGCTCCAGTAGGGATTATCAGCTGGAGGAATATATCTCTAGGAGCGTGCTTCTGAACTTGAGCATGAATAATTTATGACCTGCTAGGTTTTGAAGTTAGGGGATTCTTACATGATGTTCCCCCATGAAGAGTATACACCATCACCGTGATGGTACCTTCCTGCTTTACAGGGTACAACTTTTTCCTCTACTTCCCCACATCCTTGGCATTTTTATATTTAGTTACATACTCTCCAAGAAAACGAGCAAAACTGTGGGACATTTTGTAGCATCAGCCCCTATTGTGAAAGGACAGAAAACCAGAGAGATAGGCTTATGTGCTCTGTTAGTAACATCAAGGTCAGGTTGGGCAGCATCACGGCAGGGAATGATGCCAGAGGCAATGGCGGGTCATTCACCACTCTGAAGAATGTGGCTTCTCCCAGCTAGAGCAACAAAATTCATGCCAGTGCCATAGGAAGGGAGGGAGGCTGCCTTACATCTCAAAAGCCAGACTTTATCTAGCTTGTAGTAGAAATTGAAATTCCCATTACTGTCTAGTATACTGATTAATAATTTTTAAAATAATCTTAATCTCCCTGAAAAGAGGAAAAGCTTAATTATAGATGTTGTACTGTGCTGATGACTGTCGTACAGTGTTTTAGTCAGGAAGTTCTAAATTATCAGTGGTCTGTTAATATCTGTAAAATATGTTCACATCCATATGACCTGTGCCCTATAGGTGTCGGCTTGATTGCTTCTGGCCAGTCTGATGTGGTTGTGGCAGGTGGTGTAGAGCTAATGTCTGACATCCCTATTCGTCATTCAAGGAAAATGCGGAAAATGATGCTTGATCTCAATAAAGCCAAGACTCTGGGTCAACGACTGTCTTTACTTTCTAAATTCAGATTGAATTTCCTGTCACCGGAGGTAAGACTTACATAAAGACTTGTGTTTCCAAAGCATCCCTCTGCAGAGTTCCAGAATTAGGCAAGAGAGTATGTGTTCAGTTATGCTCTAATAGTTGTAGATTCTGTTAGTTACCAGGGAAGGTTAATTACTGGGTCAAGAAGAAGAAGAAAAGATAGTGGTTAGCAAATTTGACTTTATAAGCCCTCTTTAGAGATGACCTGCTCACAAAAAGCTCGCCTTGTCTTGGCCTTGGTTGATAGTAGATTTTAGCTTCCCCAGATAACCCGAGGTATGGTACAGTGCCTGTAGCCTGTTAACATTGTTCTTGGTCCTGTGAATCTCCTTGCTAGCTCCCTGCTGTGGCCGAGTTCTCCACCAGTGAGACCATGGGCCACTCTGCAGACCGTCTGGCTGCCGCCTTTGCTGTTTCACGGCAGGAACAGGATGAGTATGCACTGCGCTCGCACAGCCTGGCCAAGAAGGCACAGGATGAAGGACTCCTTTCCGATGTTGTGCCCTTCAAAGTACCAGGTAAAACAGTGTGCTCCACTTCATAATGGGGACTGCTTCCTGATCCTTGTTAGGGAGTTCTGACTGAAGTGCTTCTAAAACACCAAGAACCCTAAATGACTTTTCAATAAGTATGTTAGTTCTGCTTCCCAATACTCATTCTTAAATGTGGATTCAGGTTTCAATTTATGTTTTAAAATAGGTAAACATTTTAAAAAGAGTTTATAAGGGACTCCTTTTATCTTCCTGATGTATTTTAGTTCTATGTATATACCTATTTTTAAAATTCATAATTCCTATGACTTCTGTATGGAATAGCCAAATGTGGATAAACATCTTAAGAAAATAGGGTATCCTTTTAAAATTAAATTCTTCAGATTATTTCTCAGCTGTCTTAAGAGTTTAGTTTAAAATTTGGTAATATCTTGGTAAGTATAAAAGCTTTCTTTTTAGTGAGTAAGTATGGTTTACACTGAATTTGTCTTGTACTTTCTAAAACATACTTCTCTAGAGAAGATATAAAAAGTTTGTATTGCAGTTCCCTAGAGTTAAAAAGTTCATGTTTTCACAGGAAAAGACACAGTTACCAAGGATAATGGCATTCGTCCTTCCTCCCTAGAGCAGATGGCCAAACTTAAGCCTGCATTCATCAAGCCATATGGTACAGTGACAGCTGCAAACTCTTCTTTCCTGGTAACTATGCTGTGTGTTTTACTAGTGACTTTTCTGTTTGTGTGTTTACTAGTGACTTTTCTGTTTGTGTACTTTCAGTAGAAAAGTCTGCAGTTGATTTACTTGTACTCATTATGAGTAGGACAAAAATAGTAGTTACTCATTATAAAGGCAATATTAAAATAGAATCATTGAAAAAAATAGAATCATAGTCTTAAGAAATTACAAGTCACCTAGTCTAGTCACCATTCTGTTATGAAAAGATGTTCTCTTCAGGCACCGAACCAGTCCAAAAAACTTCGACTGCCTCTGCTAGGCACTGCAGATAAAAAGAATAGATGATTGTCATATAGTGAGAAAGTGCTGTGATGGTTGTAAGCACAGGCCGTGGGAGAAGATATATAAATGGTGGGAGTCAGGCTCCTCAGAGGAGGTAACATTTGAGCAGCAAGTCTTGAAGGAAGACTGTAAGATAATTTAAGAAGTATAAAAAAAGCTTTCTAGGCAAATGGAACAGCAAATGTAGAGTCAAAGGTAGGAGAGCAAGGCCTCTGTGGAAAGGCTTGCTTGGAGCATAGGATATGAACTTGGGAGTTGTATAAGAGAAGGAAAGTAGGCAGAGAGAGAGAGTGAAAAACTACCTCTTCCAGCTCTGATTGTTAGAAAATGATGCTTTATACTGACTCCCAAATTATGTTTTTTATAAGCATCACAGAATAAATCTATCAACATTTTTTGTTGTTGTTTTACTTAGTCTACAGCTTCATATCCTTTCTTGTTTTTTTGGCTCTTCTTCAGTTAAACATCCCTATTGATTCTGCTTCTGCTTATAGGGTTTCTCTTCTACCACCTTGGGTGTAGTCTTCTGCATGTAGTCCAGCTGGTCTGTGTTTCTTTTATAGTATAACTTCCTTACCCACACTAAAGACTGGAAACATAGGCAAATGTTGGCATATTTGACCTTGTTAGGAAACAATTTAATGCCTGCTCTTGGGCTAGGGGAAGAGGGCCTGGGTGGTTTCTGCCTGAGGATACACCACCCCATTAAGCCTGAGTGGCAGAGGACTGGGTAGATGATCATTTCTGAAACCAAATGGGATGACAGGGCCATATGGCATGAGCTGCATTTTTGCCATATCTGAACCCCATTGATTTCTTGGGTGTGCTAGAAATGCAGGTTATTCATTGAAAATCAGAAATTCAAATCATCAGTGGGAACACATCACAGATAATGGAATTTCGGAAGTGTGTTAATATTTCACAGTCATTGGAATTTTGCACAATGGCATATTGAACTTACTATTAATGTAATGTCCATAAACCATTTTTATGTATAGTCACCTATGTTTCCAGACTTTATGGTCACTCTATTGGTGGTGGCTGTTGGTCTCTTCTGGGTTATTGAGTTATAAAAATAAGATAGAATATAATATAAACTGTTTTGATTTTGCAAACTACAGAGTAGTTTTCTTTGGGATTTTGGATTTTATTTATCTATTTTTGTGTGCTTCCTTTTGAGTCATGGTAAAGGGCCGTTTTCCAATGATGACTTCTTGTACCCCAGCTTCTTGATTGTCAGTTGGGAAAAAGCATATGGGGTGTGTCCAAAGATGGAAGACTGTGGTTCTAATGTTCTTAGCTGTTTCTTCTCCCATTGGTTTGCTTGTTATAGAATCTACTGTATAAATGGAAAAAAATCACCTAGAAGCCACAGGGAGGAAAAGCAGCTGAGAAATAGTCTAGAAAATATAAAAGTAAGTAAATAGGGATTGTTTTAATTCATCAAAATTCCACATATTCTGTGCCAAAAGCAAAAAATTTTTGGTTTAAGTTTACTTATGAATACATATTTCTAAAGTTCCCTATTCTCTTTATCCATTTTGATAATTATGTACTTTTTGAAGAGGTTCATCTACCCTTGTTCTTCCAGAATGAGTCAGTGTGTGTGTTTGAATTGTGACTTACTGATGGATAAAAAGAAAAGGTTTTGTTATAGAATCTCTGTGACTGATTGGTTGATAGATTCAGGAACAGTAAGAGAAGATGGTTGTACAAAGACCAATAGACAAGCTGAAGATTTATTATTTTTTGAACCTGGTGGGACATGAACAGACTGAAGAATTTAATTGTCGTTCTTGTTCTTGCTAACATTGCAGACTGATGGTGCATCTGCAGTGCTGATAATGGCAGAGGAAAAGGCGCTGGCCCTAGGTTATAAGCCAAAGGCGTATTTGAGGTAAAGTAAATGTTCAAGTAAATTGCCTCTGGTTTCTTTATTTTATTACTGGAGCTAACCCCTCTATTTTTTACCTAGGGATTTTGTATATGTGTCTCAAGATCCAAAAGATCAGCTTTTACTTGGGTACGTAGCAGTGTATTTCCTTGGATTATAATCAAAAGCATTTGATTAACCACATTTATTACACATATTTTAAAGTGCTTTAAATTCTTGAGTTCATAATTACTTTTTGTGGATTTTTTAAAAATAATAATAATGATAATTCTTTATGTTAGTATTTTATAGTTGTGGATTGTTTTCCATTTTTTTCCTATACATTTCTACTTAACAACTACAATTTTGTATTCTTGTTTTCATTAAGATGTCACAGCATTTTTTCATATCGCTACACCCTTTGCTACACAATCCTCACAAAAGCCTTATATAAAAGCCTTCAAATGTTTAGACTATCTCCTCCCACCTCACAAGGCTCTACCCTCACTGGCCCCTGTTATAACTTCCAACTAGCCTTACCCTTGCCTGTATGCTTTGCCCTCTCAACTCTTTGTTCTTCTAGCTCTTCACATTGTCAGTTTGTTCTTCTCTTTCATTGTTTACTTGTTATCTATTTCCCTGACTCAAGAATATAAACTTTGTAAGGAATGGAGACCATGTCTGTTTAGTTTACTATTATATCTCCAACACTTAATTAATATTTGTACAGTAGAATCAAGGAATGAGTGGAGGACATTATAGCACCTTACTTAAGACTCAGTTTGGGGAATATGAAGGTGGTATTAGGTAAAAAATTAAAATTTTAACCTATTACTTTTTTTTTCTTTTCAGACCAACATATGCTACTCCAAAAGTTCTGGAAAAGGCAGGATTAACAATGAATGACATTGATGCTTTTGAATTTCATGAAGCCTTCTCAGTAAGTCATTTCAAAAGACACATGTCAAAGAACTATAGTCGTTAAAAATAATTTGTTTGTGGGAGACAGTAAGGTGTGGTTTATGATATGAGTAATCAGGAGTGGAGGTTCATATAAGTATTGACCTACACTGTTGGAAGGGGTGTGAGGAGAGGCAATTCAGTGGTATGGTGTCAAAAATATACCTTTTGAGCCTCTTGGAAGACTTTAAAAAGTAACAGAATGTTTCTTTAGGAAATATTCACCAAAAACAGATTCAGAGATTTTCTCAACTTTAAACGAGGTCATGCCTAATAGAAAGCATCAAGAGACATTAATAACAAGGTCCTTATTCAATTATTTTCCTTTCTAGGGTCAGATTTTGGCTAATTTGAAAGCCATGGATTCTGATTGGTTTGCACAAAACTACATGGGTAGAAAAACCAAGGTAAGTTTCTGATTAAAAATATGCTTGAACTCCCAAAGCTTTTTATTATTTGGAACTTAGTATCTGCTAATAAAAATATGAAGGGAAAATCTTCTTAGGAAGAATTTTATGTTTCATTAAATATATTTATTTATTAGCTAAAAAAATAATTCCTGGAAATTCTTAAAAAAAAAAAAAGAAAGTAAAGTTCTAGGTTATCTATCTTCTTCCTATTCTGGTACTATATGAAAAAAAAATGGACTGTTGGCTAGAATTCTTTCTTTTGAAGTAAAATAATTTGTGATATGTCTTAAGTTAGTTATTTCTATCTCTCTTACTTCCTGTTACTAAGAGCCTGGACTGATGCTTAAGTAAACTCATCTTTATATTTGTGTCCGCTTTTGTGGGAGCCAGGTTGGATTGCCTCTTTTGGAGAAGTTTAACAACTGGGGTGGATCACTGTCCTTGGGCCACCCATTTGGAGCCACTGGCTGTCGGCTGGTCATGGCAGCTGCCAACAGGTTACGGAAGGAAGGAGGCCAATATGGCTTAGTGGCTGCCTGTGCAGCTGG